TCCATCTATGTTATGTCTTTTATTACCAATAATAAACGACATAACAAACACTAGCTGTGATGTCCCTCAGGCTACCCCTACACCCTGTCACTCCAACACCCCCACACCTCTTACCCTTCTTTAAAAAAGCACAGACATGCAGTGTTAAGTGCCCCCAAACCCACAGGACAGAGCTGCCATGGGGGTCCAAGGCAACCTATGATAAAACCCAGCATGCTCTGGTGATGTCATTTCTCAAAACACCGACCCTCTCAGAAAAGGGTCATCAGGTTAACATTCCGCCCTCTGCACCTCACTCCTATACTTCACGTGTGTCGTCTGATTGGTTGCTGCCCTGTCAGTCACACACGCCCCTGTGCCCTGGGGCGGGGAAAGGCAGGAGGGGGAGTCATTTAGCCACTGTGACTGGAACACAGCTCAGAAAAGTAATCCTATCATGGGTGAGCAATACCCGCAGGCTAAGCCACAAATACCCAATTCAAACTCCAGCAGGCCAAGCTGAAACAGGGCAAACCCATCCACACTGAGAAGTAACTGCCCTACACTGATGCATCTCTTTTCTGGACAGACTACATGCAACCGCCATTTTATTAACCTGACTGACCCATCCTGGCTGTTGCACCAAATGAGGACATAGAGCTGATGTTGTCTCTGTGCGCCCCCTGCAGGTGAAAACATGCCAGGGCAGTTTTCCTTCAATGCTGCAACTCAGGTCTCAGAGCTCCACACAACAAGCGCTTCAGATGCTAGCAAAGCATTCGTCTGTTACCTTGTTCTCGTCAAAGACATTGAAGACGAAGGTGGCGAACTTGGTGGGATCTCCGAAGGGGAAGAACTGCTTGTAGATCTTCTGGAAGCCCGCGGCGTCCAGCTGGCCGCTGGGACAGTCCTTAATGAAGCCCTTGTACCTGAAAGGAGGGGGCGGTAACAGTGAGCGAGACACAGGGGAGATGGCGGATTACGAAGAACAGGCCGCCCAGATTATATTCCAAAACAAGGAGGGTGAAAAAAAGCACTGACTGCCGTCACTCTGAGTGTGTTCTGCCAGATTCTTTAATTCCCTCAAACACCCAGCAATTTAAAGTGAAATCCTAAGCGGTATTTCAGTTTGGCTGAGTATCAGGTAAGATCGTATGCCTCTCACAAAGCAGACAGTGCACGCTTAAACTCAGACTTCTGGCTCCTTTTTTCGCCCTTTTTTTCATAAACACACAAAATTATTCATAAATCAATCTGTCACCCTTATCCAGCCATTACAGCTCTAATCACAGCAAATGACTGTTTTATGTGGAGCTGCGTCTCAAATGCCATTTCAAATGGAGGCTCCAGGTGAGAGATATCCTGTGATTCTGTGGACAATGATCCCTCATTTGGTTTATTGTATTCACTATAATAGGCCCTTTGGGGATGTTTTTTTTACCTGAATGCTTCTACACTGTGAGGAGTTAGAGAAGAGAGGGAGACAGAGAAAGAGAAAGACGGAATGAATTGAAGGCTCCTGCATAACTCAGAAAGGAAAATGCCCTGACAGATGGGAAAACCCAGGAAAGTACATTACTGTCAGTGAGTGTACCACAATAAACTACACCCCCCCCAATACATACACACACACATACACACACTGGCCTCAATCCCGCAGTGACCTCTGGAGGCAGACAGCCTGTGTCTTTGCCGTGGCTGCTCTGTGCGTTTGCACAAAAGGCGGCTCTTTAATGAAGAATTACCGCAATTAAGGTGAGAGCGTGACTGATAGGCGGATGAGCAGTTGACAGACAGGGATCGTAATTCATTCTGCTGCGCCCTCGCTCCAAAAGTCTTAATCTTCCTTTCACACGAGACAAAAAAACCCCCCATTCTCATTCAGAAAGAGCCGTCAGGAGCTACGCAGAGCCCTCACAGACAGGATGAGGGGGTAAGGTAAGGCTTAACCAAGCCAGCCTGCACTAATTCCCTCATTTGCATAGCCTGAGATAAACGCTTCTCTTTTTTGGAGAGGCTTGACAATTAAAGCTAAACCCAGGCAACGCGCTCCACACGAAATTCCATCAGAGTGCCACTCCGCAGGTAACACCGTGCTAATTCTGCACCGAGGGTGACCCATTTCAAGCAGGGACGAAGGTGCGGTGAGTCACTTCAGACTCGGATTGTCTCTCTGGTGGAGATACAGCGCTGCACTGGGGAAAATCCAGCCTGGCTTTAAACACCATCACACAGCTGGGCCATCCCCCTGTATCTGTAACACCAGCACACTCCTTTCAGCGAGGACTGTTGCGTTTATTATTTTGAAGAGGAGCACTTCAGAGAGAATCCTTTCTTCTGTCTTCAGACAAAATCTGCTGTCTTTTTTTCTTCCATTTCATCATCGGGTTAGACCTTCAAAAACTCCGGCAAAAAGTGTTGTCCTCCGGGCTGTTAAAGACAGTATAGTGGCAGCTAGGCCTGACCTCTTTCCCCAAAGAGGGAACCCTGCACAAATTAATACAACCGCAGAATGCAAAAATCAATTCGGAGCAGAACCGTTGAACAACCCTTTTCCAATAACCGATGAGCAAAATACACACATCCCCAAAGGCCGATGGAATCAGACATGAGCTTTAAATACAGAAATGAAATCTTCCATCCAAACTCGATAGTACTGTATTATACATGACCTTATTACCCGACAGCAACTCCCCCCTCACCTCCCTTACACAGTGGGTAGTATTACTCCCTCTTTATCAGCATGTAGGCATTTCTCATTAAATAAGGGAGAAAAGAGGCTGGATCTTTCTATTGTCTGTCTGTCCATCTGTCTATCATTTTTTTCTCCACGTGTGTCTGTCTCTCGACAGAGCGCTGAAAGTATATTCTTCAGTCTGGTGTGTGCCACATGTTTATAAACCACTGAAGAGAGCATATGAGAAAACGATTTGACAGATTAGTTTCCAAGTATTCCAGGAGCTTTTCTGCTTCCACTCACATACTGGGAGATGACACGCCAACCGTCATCCCAGAAGGAAAAGGACTGGAAAGCAATCATGTTTACGCTCCACCAAAGCTGTTTGTGTGAGGCACTCAATCAGCCCACAGGATGGAGTGAAAATTCATTAAAAAAAGGAGAGAGAGAGAGAGAGAGAGAGATGGAGCTTTTTGAAAAGCGAAATTCATGCAGGGCCACGGAAAGGAAGTCCTGCTGAGAACAGACAGGGAGTTCAGACATGCAAATATGTTCTGTGGCAGCCGGGGTGTTAGCGCCCGCTCATCGTCTCTCCTCCCCTGCCCTCCCCCTCCTCGTCCCTTCCCCCACCCCCCCCTGTCCTGTCCACCCCCAGCTCCCCTCTCCCTCCTCCCCCAGAGCTCTGCTCCAATTCACACTCCGAGACACTCTGTGCCCGGTTGTTCAGGCTGGAGGGCCCAGTGGAGGACCGCTCTCAGCGCGCAAGGACCAATCAGAGAGGGGGAAAGAGGCGAGGACCGCTCCCGGGAGCGAGAGTGAGAGGGGCAACGAGGACGCAGACTCTTTGCTTAATAAGAGATGTTACTATCAAAAAAAAAAGAGAAGAAATAAAACATATGAAAGATCATTTCCAAAGTTGCAGTGTGGTTTTAGCAAAAGAGATGTTACTATCAAAAAAAAAGAGAAGAAATAAAACATATGAAAGATCATTTCCAAAGTTGCAGTGTGGTTTTAGCACATCTCTGTCATGCATTGTGCGCTGTACTGTCCTGTCAGCCTGTGGCTGCAATCCCAGAATGCACTGCGCCCACTACTGTCTCCACACACACAGAATCAAGGAGCAAAGAAGTCTGGCTGCAGACGCTGGCAGTGGCAGTGAGCTACTCCAGGGCCTGGGAGGAAGGGCATGTTAATGCACAGGGGCATCGCCTCAGATAAGTGACCTCATGCACGAAATGGTGCAGCAGCACAAGATTACAGCTGATCCAGGAACACGCTCTCTGACCTCCACCCTAAACCACCCTGGATGTGGTGAGTGTTTACATGTCTGCCGCGCTTCTGTCCAGATGTTGCCCAGAACGCTCTGGCAGAGAGGCTTATGGGTAATGACGGGGTCCCGTGCGACGCGCTTTGGAGCAGGCTGGGACACAGGGCGCAGCATGCACTTAAAACGCGGGCGGCCGTCCAGCCCGGATTACACCCCGGCCCCTGATACCCAGCCACTAATTACATACCATATGGCGCTTCCCGTACGCGGTCCCTCCCTGTCCCACTGACAGCAGGGCCTACATCCACAGCTTTCCCGCTCACAAGCTGTATAATAAAAAGTTTTAAATGAGGGGTTTGAGCGGCCAATGGCACATGTTGGCTCCTCCCACCCCCTGCTGCGTCAGTGCCAGGGCTGATTCTGGCCCTCTGCAGAGGTCTTCGCAGCCAGCCAATCAGATGCGGCCGCTGCAGAGGTCTGTGCAGCCAGCCAATCAGACGCGGCCGCTGCAGAGGTCTGCGCAGCCAGCCAATCAGACGCGGCTGCTGCATGCGCAGCTGCAGCCCAGGACAGTGAATGTGCATTGCAGTCCCTGGTTCCGCTTCAGCTGCCTGATGCAGCTAATTCTGACTGGTCACCACGCAAAAGCGAGTGAGTGTCGGGAGTTAATCACACACCCTGCATCCCTGAGTCCTCTCCCATGGTGCCGTGTCGCCACGCCCCAGACTCGTTAGCGCCAGCGGGTCAATTAGCGACCGGCAGAGCTGTCGCGTTCCGTCCGTGAGTCTGTCAGCCGCTGATCGGCGCCCGCAGAGAGAGGGAGACCGGCCTGTGAGGAGTGGGGGAGAGGTGCTGAGCTTCATTAGCAGACGCATGGAGTAATCACCACCATTCCAGCAGCATTACGGAGGAGGAGTGAAGCCGTTCGGCGGGCAGGGAGGCACTGAGCGGCGCCGGCCTCAGAGGCCTGCATGCTAATCCATTTACTCAGGAAGCGTCTCGGCTCAGTGGAGCCCAAATGATGAGAGAGCCGAGCTGAGCCTCCCCTCAACGGGCCCATCCAGTTTAACCGCTTCTGGCAGTGTGACGTAGTGGTAAGGCATAGGGCTTGTAACCGAAATGTTGCTGGTTCGATTCCCCACTGGGACACTGCTGCAGTGCCCTTGGGCAAGGTGCCTCAGTAAATATCCAGCTGAATAAATGGATAAAATTGTAAGTGACTCTGGATAAGAGCTTCTGCTGATTGATAGTAATGCAATGTAATGTAATGTAAAAATACAGGCCGAATGAAAGCCTTGATCTAGTAAAACACAGCATCAGAGATACATGTAATGCATAATGTAATGCAATGTAATATATCCCCTGCTCAGCTGTGCCTGACTCTGCCTCCAACCCTAGATTCAAACCTGTAATCCCTGGTCTAGCATTCTCACTGATGCATGTCTCTGCTGCCCAACAACATTACATCATCATATGAAGTGACCGGCTTTCCCTGCTGCCAGCAGTAGGGGGCGCTGTGTTAAACTCTGCAGCAGCGTCTGCATTAGCGTGGGGCACGGCAGCGGGACCTTATCCTCAGGGCTCCTTCTCTCTCCCCTGTCGTCAGCTGCGGACGCAGCGGCAGGCAGCGATGAGTCAACCGCCTCACCGCTGAACCTGGCCCCCGCCCAGGAAGAGCCTGCGGGCTGTGCCAGCGCCCCCCGCCACACGCCCGACCTTGCGCTCTGCCCCTGCAGCTCTCTGCATCGCCCCCTCCCCCCCGCTCTCCGTAGTGGGAACGCTCAGATCTAACCCCCGCTGTGGGGCCCTGGCAGCCGACAGCGCCCCCTGCAGGTCAGAATGGGCTGCGTTACAGGCTGAGAGGCTAAGCGGGGCAGCGTGGCTGGTCTCCGCACAGCGATAACGCAGCACGTCTCTCACTGCTGAGAGTCTGTCGTACCTGAGACTGGCCCTGGGACACACAGAGCAGCTTCTCTGGGGCTCTGAGTCACTGACCCAAATGTAGGAAGCCCAGTTATACAACAGCCTGTTTGCATGTTTGAGTGTGTGTGTGTGTTTGTATGTGTGTGTGTGTATCTGTGTGTGTTTGTATGGGTGTGTGTGTCTGTGCGTGTGTGTGTGGGCCTAAGACTGCTCTGTTCGAGGGGAACACAGCCAGCTCTCTCACTGAGAAGAGAAGGTTGCAGGAGCAGTGAAGGGAGAGGGCTGACAGACCAACACGCTCCAATTTCCTGCCAACAGACACCTGAGTTACACACAGGGGAAGAAACAGAGAGAGGAATGCGGAGAGACAGAAAGAGGGAGAGAGAGGGAGACAGAGGCAGAAAGAGAGGGATATGAGGGAGAGAGGGTAGAGAAAGAGACATGGGGCCGAAAGAAAAACAGAAAAAGAGGACTGGGGAGAGGGAGAAAGAGAGAAGGAAGGGATCGATGACAACAGAGAGAGTGAAGGAAACAAGGCAGAGGAGGAGAGCAGGAAGAGGAAGTGAGGAAGAAGAGGCAATACTTACCACTGCTGCACTTCCTTCTCTGTAACTGTGGAGAGAAGAGAGGAAAGATCATTACCAAAAGAGGTCCAAAAACATCACAGCCACACAATATCGCACTGAACCTCCATACTGATGTCCCACTTCAGGTCGCAACAACACACTTCAAACTTCATAGCTAAACACACATTTTTTCCTGTATTTCCCCCAAATCAGTCTGCAGGGGGGGTGCTCCTCATTTTCCATTCCATTTATGCACGGAGCCAGAACAAATTATTTCAATGCACCTCTGGGGAGAAGCCAAAAACACCTTTATTTATGACACTGTGTCCCTGGTAATGTGAATCCATCTCTCTAAAGTACAAGCCAACATAGTGTTTCCTTTCAGCTTTTAACAGTTGAAGCACTGGGTGGTTAAAAGTAGGACATCAGATCTAAAACGCTCACACGTGCCAGATGTTTGTTAAGAATTTCTGCTGCATTCAACATTCACACAGCTGTTACTTCTGAACACCTTTCATTCAAAAGCAATTACAGCAGTGTTATCCAATGGGGTCTGTCCTACCTATCTGCATTCAGCCCCGCCTACACCAGCCAACCAATCACTACCAGGAGATGGTGAGCACAGAAGAAACATGGGTGATGAAAAATAAATGTTTAAAAGTCAAACTTTATTATGGACAATGGCTGCTTCCACACAGTGCTGCTGTCTAGACAGCTCTCTCCCTGCTGTGTGATCACCATTTTGGTTCGACTACCTTGTTTCCCCTTAGGTTTTGGGCTTGATTAGTGATTTGACCCTGCTAGGGTGTAACTCCATTCTCATAACCCAACACACAGACCTCAAAAGGTGTTTGCAGTAACCCCATTCTATTATGGGCTCACAGTACAACAACGGACGGCTCCATTGAAGTTGGTAGCGATGGAACACAACTGGCTTTGTTCTGCCAGGGCTGGGAAGGTTTCAACAGCCAGGATCCCCTCGTCTCACCACTTTGGAACCCTCTAGTGGCTACTGAGCTGCCTGCAAGTTGCCCTGATGACATCAGTGGAGTCTACACTCCAGCCAGTCTTTGCTCTGTTGTAATGCACTGTGGGACCTGTAGTGCAAAAAATAGCCTTTGGCTACATGTGAGTGCATTGGAAGTTTGCTGCACCTCAGCTCTCCTGTGCAAGTTTAATGGAAGAGGTGCACCTACAGTAGTATAACTGCCAATTTATACATGAGTGAAAAAAGGGAAAAAGCATAAAAGAAACATACAAAAAAAACTAACTCTTCAGCTATCATAAATTTATTGCAGTTTGAAAGCTGTGGAGAGTGCTGATGCTGTGCTATTTACAGCCGGCTCTTCCCATGAGCTCCGCGTTGTTTCCAATTTTCAGCCAGCAGATGTTCTAGGCAGTAGCATTTACACTCCCTGGGAGGTCAAATGACATGTCTTCCTCACCAACGGGCGATATTTGCTGCGTTTAAAAAACAAGAGTGAAAAACTTGCGTTCCGTGATAGGCAATTGTGTCCTTTACCAGCCCCCTGCTGTTGTTAAACTACCGCCTCCCTTCTGCGCGATTGCCTGCCCTGGTTTGACTTCGCTCGTGACGCCTGGTGATTCCTCCCCTACTAGGTCAGGAATCCATCAATAGCTTCTAAAGACCAACCTGCCCCAAGGTGCCCAGGAGCAACGAAACTGGTGATGTACAAAAAGCACCGGGACTGTCCCACGACACACACAGCAACAGCAGGGAAAAGCCGGTTCACCTGAGGTAAAGTCAGAGATCAGCAGCACCTCCTCGGTACACAACTCCAAACACTCCTGTGCTTCAGAGCATCATAAACAACGCCATCAGCTTTTCGGAGCCATCACCTGCCGGCGATCACAAAGCAAGATCAAACCCAAGACTTCCCGCACCTCTGTGTCCTTCAGGCTGTTCTCACAGTGTGAAAGTTACACTGACAATCCAAGTGGTTAATCTGTGTGAAATGAAAACATAAAAACAAGTTCTTTACGCACAATGTGTTTTGTTAAAACCATGTGCACCATGTTGCTAAAATTCACGCATTGGCAAAATATCTGAAGGTAACCGCAGAGTTAATATTTTACCGGGGAGTGGAAAGTGGTTAATGGATTAGCACAGGAATGCACCCACTGGTCCAACGTCACAGCTCCAGGGACGACTGTGCTTTCACTCCACGCTGTGCAGCCCTGCAGTCTCTTTGCTGTGGAGCTTTTCTTCCCTCTCAGAGCGCGCAGGACTTGAGAAGACGGCACAGGTTATCACAGCGAGCGAGTGACAGCTGATTCGGCTCCTGTCATGTTCAACCACAGGAGCGCGGCGCCATCTGTCACGTCTCTGTTTCCGCCACCATCTGAGGATATTTTTAGCTCCGAAATGCCCACATTTCCACTTGCTTCTGAACGCTGATCCGGTCTAACGATACCCCCCAAACGGCTCAGCCCGCAGCTAGCTCCATTATGCCTTTCTTGTAGCGATCTGTGTACCTCGTTACCCGCTTCGAGTCGAAACGGGATGTAATGTCTGCGCCCCATTCATCAAAGCCTCGGCAGCTGGACTCCCAATGCAGGTGTGCTATTTGGGGTTCAGTGGGGTCCCTGCACATCATTATTACCCTGACCAGTGGAGTGCATCAGCATGGAGAGAGAGATAGAGACAGAAAGAGAGGGGGTAGAGGGAGATGGATAAATAATGAGATAGAAAGAGAATGAGGGAGAGATAGAGAGATAATGAGAGAGGTGGAGAGGTAACGAGAGAGACAGAAAGAGAATGAGAGAGCGAGGGGGAGAGGGTGAGAGAGGGATGGAGAGAGGGAAAAAGAGAGAGAGGGAGGGAGAGAAAGAAAAAGGGGGAGAAATAAAGTGTGTGAGAGAGATACAAAGATAATGAGAGAGATGGAAAGAGAATGAGAGGGTGAGATTGAGAAAGAGAGAGATAATGAGAAAGGTGGAGAGGTAATGAGGGAGACAGAGAGAGAAAGGAAAAGATGGAGAGAGGAAGACAGGCTGGGAGGGAGGGAGAGAGGGAAAGAGAGCAAGAGAGATAGAGGACTATAAAGGGCAGCAGCTCTGGGAGCAAGCCGTGCTGTTAATGCCAAAGCAAATGGCAGTATTATCTGAGAGTTCAAATCAAACAATCCCTATGTCATCAACCCCCCTCCCACGCCCAGTTCTCTCTAAAGTAACCAAAGCCATTTTCCTGATCAAAACCCCTGGGCCCATTCTCCAAAACAAAGCTCCTGAAATCAATGTCAGCCACTGACGTGCCCCCTCCCCAAGCTCTGCTCTCAGCCTGGAGCACTGAGGTAAATCAAATCAATTTCAGTCTTTTTTTTCCCTGTGCCTCGCTAAAAAACGGCCTTTTTAGAAAACCATAGTAATGCTTGTCACAGAGGGGAAGAAACCGTCTGGAGCGCAGCAACACGCTGTCTGGCCCGAGGCCGTCGCTGATGCGCTGTTATTCCGCAGTGAGTCGCGCCTCTCCGCGGGGCCGCGGGACACCGGCCCATCGGGCAGGGGAACGGACGCAGACCCCCCCCCCTCCCCGATCCGGGCTGAAGCTTTCTGACCAGAGGGAACCAGAACAGCTCCAGCAATCTGGAATAACGGCTGAGACACAGCACAGCCACAGAAACGAGAATACGCTCTC